GTGACAGGTTCCCCTTGTCTTTTTGTTGTTTTGTTATAGTTTAGATGATTTTTGGGTGGCTGAATCTTGTTAGAATCTTGTTAATTAAATTTTTGTTTTGCCACCTTTGTACATGTATGTTGAATGAATTACTAGAATGGCTTATATGAAGATTAGTGGCGTTTGTTTCAATTGTGTTTAAAGTTCATACAATTATACTTTATGTTTTAAAAGTTGTAGAAGTTATGGTTTATTTGCCTGTCCGATCTCGTTCCCGCCTCGTCCATACGAGCTAACCGGGCCGGATCGTGACACAAACCCTGCTCCATCAATAGAAAAATAAAAATGGCTGATGGCTCGCTAAAATTATTACAGGTTAAGAAGTATTTCAATTTCTTCATATTCTCTTTTAGTAATATACAACATGTTTACATCTTGTAGTAAATCTTCTATAAATTCATAAAATAACTAAAAATCACAACTGCAATGTAACATTTTTTTTTCTAATCTCCATGGCTTTGTTTAGGACGACTGTCTTACTGCTTATTAAAATGGCTTTTTAGTACAAAATTTAAAAATTTTGTACTAGAAAGTCAATTTAAGAAGTAGTAAGAGAGCCATCCCAAACGAAGCCTATATCTTTCAGGATCTTACTATGAGGAAGATTGAGCAAGCTAGAGAAAAGAAGTTCTTCTTAAAGACGGAAATTACTTGTCATGTTTCTTCATTTGCACCCGCTATGTAGAAGTTATTTGGAAATTTCATGATAGGCTAGGACATCCCTCTTTCAAAATATTACAATATATATATATTCTCTTTTTTTGACCGTAAACATTGAAAATTTTCATTTTGAGAATTGTAAAATTGTTAAACATCGTGTTATTTTTCTCAAATGTAATTCTAGATCTTCTACTTTATTTTCTAATTGCACACTCAGATATTTTAGATATTTCAAATCGACAACATTTATGGAGCTGGAAGATTTATCAACTTCATTGATAATTACTAATTATCGTCTTTTTCTATAAAATGTATTATCCACCAATCGTTTTGTCCTGACACTCTCCAATAAAATGGAGTGACAGAAAGAAAGATTGGCATCTTCTGAAAGTCACAGAAACTCTTCTCTTCTAGAATCAGTGTTAAAAAGATCTTGGGAAGAAGCAACCATAACTGCTACATATCTAATCAATAGAATGCCCTCAAGAGTAAACTTACTTCAAAATTTCTCTAAATTACCTAACTAAATTCTTTCTTGTAAATAACTTTTTCTCAAAAAATTCTCCCAAAATTTTGGGTGCATTGCCTATGTCCACATACACAAATAATACACGGGTAATTGAATCCTAGAGCTCTTAAATATATCTTCCTTCGGTATTCCTCAACTGAAAAAATGTTATAAGTGTTATCATGCTACCATTAAAAAATTCTTTACATATGTCACTTTTGATGAAAAGCTATATTATTTCAATAAAACTCATATTCAAGTGGAGAACTCTCAACTAGAAGATAAGTTTTATCAAATCTTTATCTTTCATCCTGACGTTCCTATAACACAAACCTTAACAAATCTAGACACTTTTTTCTATCAAGTTTGTGTAAGTAAGAATAAACTCAGCCATGCCCAAAATCTCCTTTAAGTTCAGGACTTGGAACTAGTATCTGGTAATAATGATTAACCCATCACTATATATTCTCCTCTATATCTAATTTCTTATTATACATCTTTTCAAAATTCTCTCTCACCCATTAAACCTTCCTTACAAATATTAGTTCTTAATTCTAATTTATTATAATATCACAAACTCTATTTGAGGCACTTGAAAATAAAAATTGGAAGGGTGTCATGAGAGAGGAGATGAATGCTTTGAACTTGGGAGGTTGTTGAATTACGGAAAGGGAAGAAAATGGTTGGATGCAAATCTATTTTATGTAAAACATAGAATTGGTTGAAGGTTGGATGAGATTAGTAGTAAAAGCATATACTAAGTTATATGGAATTGACTTCCAAGAAAACTTTGCTCCTATTATAAAAATATATACAATATGCATCTTAATTCTCTTGCAGCCAATCATAGATGTTTCATGCAACTGTATGATGTAAATTTTTTTTATATATATAGGGATGTTAAAAATGCCTATATGGATCCACCACCTAGATTTGCAAATTAAAGGCTCTGTATGGCCTTACACAATCTTCGAGAGTACAATTTGATAGATTTACATAAGCCATGAATGAAGTTGGATACAAACAAAGTTAAGGAGATCATACTATCTTCATAAAATGTTCTACTAATGATAAAATCTCAATTCTCATCATATATGTTGATGCATAATTGTTATAGTTGATGATGATAGAGAGAATGAGTCTCTCAGAAAAAAACTTGTTTAGGAATTTGAGATTAAACAGTTAGACAAACTAAAACTTTTTTGAAATATAAGTTGCTCGATCAGAACAAGGAATATTATTTCTCAACAAAAATATGTTATGGACCTTAAAGAAATAAATATGTCTAATTGCAAAGCCTGTGAAATTCAACCGAACAAGGTCAAAAAGTGGTCAAGATGAAAGAAAAAAGAGGGACTATCAAAAATTAATTGAAAAAATGATCTATCTATCTCACCTTTCCAGACTTCACAATTCCAGTGAGTGTCATTAGTGAATTCATGTGTAAAGCTGCTTATATAATCCTTGAATACGTTAAATCAAGTCCTGATAAAAGAATTCCTTATTAAAAGAAGAAAACTTAACAAATTAATGGGTATTATGTTGTAGACTATATAGGATTACTAGCGGATAGTTTTATGAGTGGATACTGTACATTTTTGGGAGAAAATCTCATGATATGGAGGAACACGAAACAAACAGTTAATATCTAACATTAAATATGAATTTAGAGCTATTGCTTAGGGATTTTGCAAGCTTTTGTGGATCAACGCAAAATATTTAAAAATCAAATGACTATAACAATAAATCTGCTATCAATATTGCTCATAATGTTGTACGACATAATCATACCAAACATGTGGAGGTGGATAGACATTTTGTATAAGAGAAACTATAAAGTTGGGTTGGTTTGCACTTCATATGTGCCATCAAAAAATCAACTTGCAAACATTCTCACCATATAGCTTTGCAACCCCTTGTTAAAAAATATTATTAGTAAACTTGGAATGATAAATTTATACCAATCAATTTGAGAAGTGTTGAATGATTGTGGGTCTCTGATCATAGTTGCAACCCAAATAGGATTCCCACCCTCTTCTACAAACAACTAGCCATTGGTGGGAGCCACTAGTCTAGTATCTTGGGAGAGATCCTTGAGCGCACTGATTAGGTGTTCTAATTATTTGATCGATTATGTGTTTTCTCTTCCTCTTCTAGACGACCCCTTTTGGGGACTCCTGTTTTTTTTTTTTTAATGATAGTTTTGATTTATTTTTTTTTGTAAGACTTTTGGAGAAGTAGATATACACTTCCACACTTTGTGTAAAATCAAGTAATAAAATTCAAAGTAGTTTTTTCTACTTTTTCTATAGTTCTGTGTTTTCTACAAGTCATTAGGGATTTTGTTGTTAGTCAGTCAGCATGCTAATTATTCAAATGTTTTTATTTTCTTAAGTCTATCACACTTTAGTGCTATTTAATTGTTCCCATCATCATTTATTTGTATAAATAATACTAATTTCTTACTTTTGAAAAAAGGTTCGCTTATATTGAAATGCATATAAGGTTGATTCTTTTTTTTTTTTCTCAAATTTATTTAGGTGCTGTAAAATTATTTTCACATTTTTTTGATGTCCTGTTTTTTGCTATAACAAAGTTTTTTATGGTAGCTATTTCCCGATTGGTTATTTGGATTAATAAAAACATTGTCAAGTGAATACTTCATTTTTTCTTAAATTTCTTCTGCTGAGATCTCATTGTTTGAATGAATATAAGGTTGATTCTTACTTTTGAAAAGAGGTTCGCTTATATTGAGATGTATATAAGGTTGATTCTTTTATTTTTTTTCTCAAATTTATTTAGGTGCTGTAAATTATTTTCACATTTTTTATGTCCTGTCTTTTGCTATAACAAAACTTTTTATGGTAGCTATTTCCCGATTGGTTATTTGGATTTAATAAAAACATTGTCAAGTGAATACTTTATTTTTTCTTAAATTTCTTCTGCTGAGATCTGATTGTTTGAATGAACATTTTTAGTTCATAGCTATGTGATTTGGATTTGAAATTTGCATTTAATTATCCTGCTTAAACTGCTGAGTTACTTATAGTTGTTGGTTTCAGGTTCACATTCAATATTTGCCATGGGAATATGCAACCGAGATTGAGCTCTCAAAATACAAACATGACTGCGTGTGAGTATCTTGTCACCTTGTCGTGCTCAGATGACATGTTTTTTAGAGAATCATTAGCCAGTTATTATAATTTGAATTGCCTCATGACATTTAATAATTGACATAGATAAACGTGTTAAAAAAAATAGAAAAACCGACCCGTTTATAAAACCGGGTCGGGTTGACCCAAACCCGAATAAATCCGGGTCAGGTCGGGTTCGACCCGTAACCCGAAATTGACAGGTCTAATTTAATAATTGACATAGATAAACGTGTTAAAAAAAATAGATTTAGCGATATTATCAGATTATAGATAATGATGAATTCATAGTTGTTCCTAGGACCTTAATTGATTATTTTTTGAGGAGCATCCCAATAATCATAACATTCATTTTATTGAGCAACATTGGGCAAAATCAACCAACTATTCCCACAACAAGGTAATACAATGCCGTCATAACAAAACTCTCTAATTACAAGAAACAAATATGAGTAGGAATCGGTTTGTATGTATGGGATAATAATACCATTTTAAATGAATGTGCATAAATTGGTCCTTTGGACATATCCATAAATTGGGCCTCGGACATATATGTGCTCTACTTGTGATTGTAATTTAATGATATAATTTTATAGTGAAATCACCTGGTTTGAGGGCATCGGTCATGACCGTTTACCTATGGTATCATTTGGCAGAAAAATCACCGATTAGAGGATACATGCCACAATTTTACTTGTGAGAGATTGTTTGAGAATTTATCATATCGATATGCTCGACAAGACGTTGGTTCTTTGAGAGCTAATATTATTCTCAAATTGATCTCCCTTGATAAATGATTGCGAAGGATGTATGCATTTTGCTTTAAGTTTTCTTGAATATTTTTAGACTTTGACAAATATTGAATTTTTCTAAATTTCATCATAATTTAAGCTTCAAATTTTCCGTAGTTTTCCCCTAAACGGGGAGACGCCGGAAGACTGCCGAAATTTCGGGTGAATATGCTACTGCATTCGGGCCTAATTTGAACTCAAAAGGACAAGGAGTTGGACATTAACATATTAAGTGCAAACTTGAACAAAAGTCTTAAAATCAACTTAAGCAAGAAGAGTGAATTCAAAGGTTTGAACACTTGAACTCATTTTTGATCAAATGAGAACTTGAACTTGCAAATAAACTACAATGAAGACTTGAGCTAGAACAAGGACTTGATTGGAACATTAAGCCGACAAGGCTTGAACTTGAAGAACAACAGAAGACTTGTGGACACGAACTTTTGTCATTGAACTTGAACATGCTTTTGGACTTGAACATTTGAACTCAAGAGGACATAACTTGAACTATAAGGAGAATAATACAATATTCAAAGTAAAGTTATAATTTTTGAGATAGCAAAGTACAAATTAAATGCAGAAGAAAGGTACACAAGACTTGTAGTGAATATAGAGCTTGCAAATATCATCCACTCACCAAATGATGATAAAGTCTCATGTAATCAAATGATATTAGAAGGGTTTTATGTGTAATAAGTATAACAAGTCTTCATGTTCAATGGAATGTGGATATCAAACAAATGTTGAATATTAAGCACCTACATATATTGTAAATCATCTCCAAGGCCAAAAAACTTGCACGATCTATTTATTTGCAAGTGATAAGAAGAGTCAAATGAGGGTTGGTTTGTGGCTAAATCTCAAGGGAAATAGTCCGCCTACTATGAATGACAACTAATGGTTATATATCTCACAAATATATAACAGTTTTCACAAATACTGAAATACATGCAAGCAAATACATTTGTCCCATACAAGCGGAGGGATTTGATATTCAAATGAACAAGCAAGGATTCATATATCTCACTCAGGAGCAATGACCAGGAGATTTATGAATGAATAAGAAAGCCTGCTACAAAGAGCCTTGGATACCACTTGCTACAAAATGGGGTCTCTAATGAATGATATAATTTATTCGTGGGGGAGGTAGAGAGATCTAACTTCTCTATAAGAAACATAGTAAGCACATTAGCCCGCTCATGATTGATGACAATGGCTAAGATGTGAAAGTAACAACTCCCCTACAACTGACACTTGATATCTCATGGATACAAACAACAGCTGTCGCAATTGCTAAAAGATACACAAGCAAATATAACAAATCATCAATCAACATACATGGGGATATTATTGATAAATGCAATCCATTCAGCAGTCTATGTCAATATGCATATAAAAGGTTGACGAATCTACCTACAAATAGCAGTAATAGAGATATTGCATGGATGTTGGATCCTTTACGAGCAACCTAAAATTTGTAATTGATATAGTGATTGTGCTCACAAGTCGTGGTACTGGGTATTTTACAAGTATGATGAATTCTCTTACAAATATGAATGAAGAATGCAACAAAAGGCAGATTCCTACAAGCTGTTGTAGGAAGCCTATTATATACTTAATATGCCATCTATAAGAATGATGCAAGGAAACTACAGTAGATAGCTACATCCATTGGCAAAAGGCAAAAGATTAGTTAGTGCACTACGATCCGCCTGCTGAAAGCAACAAATAGTGCACGACAGTCTACCTGTACGAAGCAGCGAACAACTCTAGTCAAAAGCTGCTACGCCACGCCACCGGATCCGCAACACTCGCACTAGCGGACAGAAGGCGTGTGTAAGCTTTCAAATGAAATATTGTGTATTGTGTGCATTTAAATAGCGATTACCTGCACAAATAAAATATTTCAAAATACCCCTGCACGTGCACTGTAATTTGTATACACATATGTACACTAAAAAGGGTAAAAGCAATCAAGAACCCGCATGGACTCTTAAATTCCCAACCAATTTTCTTATTTTAAATATCAAACTCTTCAATTCCCAACCAATTTTCCAAACATCCAAAGCCGTCAAATTTTCCAAATTTCCAAATCCAATCATTGCTGCTACTATATGTCGGATACCACGTTTACTCTACGTATCTAATTGACGACTAGCCTTAATCGAAAGTTCTCTCTTGTTATCGGGAGGGGTAATTAACTATAGGGGCTTGCGCCTATAGGAAACCAGAACTCAGATCATAAAGTCCTCACAAAAATGAGGGTGAAATCTCAGGGTAGTGTCTTATCTACAAACCCATCTGCCTTCCAAAATTTACCTCGGAACCTATCAGTTAAAACTCCCTTGTCGAATAAAAAGAAAAGCGAGCGGAGGCCGGGGCCTAATTTTCGGAGCCCACATCGGTCATGACCGTTTACCTATGGTATCATTTGGCAGAAAAATCACCGATTAGAGGATACATGCCACAATTTTACTTGTGAGAGATTGTTTGAGAATTTATCATATCGATATGCTCGACAAGACATTGGTTCTTTGGGAGCTAATATTATTCTCAAATTGATCTCCCTTGATAAATGATTGCGAAGGATGTATGCATTTTGCTTTAAGTTTTCTTGAATATTTTTTGACAAATATTGAATTTTTCAAAATTTCATCATAATTTAAGCTTCAAATGACCAAAATTGAAATTTAGGGGCATTTTGAAAATCATTCTCATTCGGTTGAGAAATTCTATCAACTCGGTCATTATTGGGATTTTGAGCACTTTGATTTAATTGCTTGAATATTGTCTACTATGCTCTCGTGCTGATAAAGGATTGGACTCGCAGATTAGCCTTATGAGTTATTTTTATTCATATTTGTCGGATTGTTTGTTTAAAGATTTCATGAACAAGTTTGTTTATAAGAAGAATCATTGAGCTCATTTGTTCGTGAATGAGCTCGTTAATAACCCGAAAACACTCGTTAGATATGATTGTGAACGAGCTCATTTGGTAGGTTGAAAACACTCATTAGATATATTCACGAATAGCTATAGGTAATAGTTGGCTCGATAAGACTTGATAAGACTCGTTTGTTTAAAGCTTGATAAGCACAAAATGAATCGAACATAAATCAAATATGAACATCTATCATTTTAAATGAACTAAACTTAAATAAGCTGATAATAAACGAGCTCAAACATGAACAAGCACTTGCTCATCTCAGCTCGATTCGTTTGTAGCCCTATATAGGTGGAATGACTTTGTGAGTTTGTATTTTATAGTGAATTTCGCTCCAATGCGGCAATAAGGCCTAATGCAAATGCAAGACAACTTATTGTCATTTTGGATTTTTTGTATAGACATTTGTTAGCCGCTCAGGTCTTGTCAATTTAATCCTTGTAACGAGGATCATACTTGAAATATTGGACTTAGAATTCTAAAAATAGGAAGGGCTTCTTGCCTGAGATCTTGTAAAAATGAGTGCTTGAATTTGTACTTAAAAGATGGTATGTGAATTTTCCAAATAGTTGCTCATTTTTTAAAAAGGGTTGCATGATTCTTAGAGCTTGGTGAATTAAAATTTTCTCTTTCTTTTTGTCTGCATAGCATTCTCATAGTTTGTGTTCAAGCATTTTACGCATTTGTCAGAGCATATGGAGACATTTTGACTTTGGAAAAAAAAGTTTGTGAATATTAAAATGATTACAAGTTTTATATAGGAATTGCACGTTTTCTTAAATAAGAGAATTTTAGCTTAATTTATTTTTAGTCTGAGGAAAATTTTGATGTTCAAATTTGAATGTTAGCACATTCATTAGAGCACATGCGAGTTTGTATATTTTTAAAATGAGTTTTTAAAATTTAAAATGTAAGTGAATTTTTAGTTTTATTTTTAACATTTAGTATGCTCGTCGGAGAACATGTTGGTATAATTGATTTTGATGTTTGACGTATCATGCATGTTCTTCGATGCATTTTAACTTTATTTATGTTTTTACACAATGCACCTATGCACTTTTAGTGCATTTGCACAGTGTACTCATAAGTTTTTTTAATGTAATTTTGCCTTTTTTAATGCACCTACGTGATGCACTTGATATGATCGCATGTTTTTCAATGTACTTATGCACTTTTTGATGTATCTACATAGTGCACTTCCACATTTTAGTTTTTTGTGCTTTCGATACACCAAAATAGTTCCTTT